CCCCCCCATTTTATGGCGGGGGCATAAAAAACAATTTCAAAGCAACACGAGATGTTATCTTGCACAAAAAAAAAGAAATGAAATCTAATCTTGAGATTGTGAAAGTGACATTATGTCACGACAACATCAAAATCTCCGTCATTTTCATTAACATGTCTGCATCACAGAAATGTCATTATTTGAATATGTCAGCATGACACCCCACACTATTACATTAACATAATGAAGTCAATTAACACTTACTCTCTGTATTTTGGCATTTTTCTTCCAGGTCCAAATTTTCCCTGTAAAAGAACAATAACTTCATTTATTTACTTCATTTTTAAAAGAGCCTGATCTGTCATGAGGAACGAAGATAGGTAACTGTATTTATTCTCATTTCAAATTAAAAGACTATTGAAATAACATGCATTCGTCATCATTTACCTTCTGTCAAATAGTACTGATATATTTGGCCAAAACTTTTGCCTGAAAAAAAGTCTTTAAAAATTCGGGGGGGGGGGGGGGGTTAAAATTTAAAATAAATAAAATTTCTGTGTCCATACTCCTTACACCTAGTGCAAAAGATTGATGGCCTTTATGTGAGAAACTAGGGGTTAGGCAGCATTTCTAAAACAAATTGTGGATTAATTGGAGTTATGCATTTTTCACCAAATTCCAGCACACATTTTTTCCTGTAAAGGACATTTAACACTTGCTTTAACACTTGCTTAATGTGCTGAAGATTTTCAAACAGGAAGTTTTCTGTGAAATTTTATATCCACAAATGAGGAATAAAACTCATCTTGATACTACATAAGTATCATAAACATCAAAATAATCATCACACTTTGTAAAGAAATTCCACTTGAGAAACAACTGGTATATTATCTTTCACTCAATAACAGATATTAATAGATACTTTGATATCTGATCCCATAAGGATTTTGTACCTTTAAAGTAACATCAAACATAGCCGCCAAGTTTGGTCGACGAAAAACTATTGAGTGAATGTTCCGTTGAAACCTTCTTTATCCATAACGCGGGTTAAAAATAGCAAAATTATATAAAATCAAGAAATTGAACAAAAAAAATAAAATATTATGTTGGGTTGAAATATACTGTGAAGGAAGAAATCTGTCACAAGCTGAAGTTTTTAAATAAGACACAGTGAGGTACTACAACAAAAACCCCAAAACTGAAGACATCTGATGGTTCAAAGCTTTATGCAATGGAGGACATTTCTTACAATCTGGACAAATAGCTAGAAAAGGAAAAAAAATCCACACCCAAAATATGGAATTGGATTCGTTCAAACCTTAATTGTGTAAAAAAAAAGAAATACTTAACAAATAAAAGAAATACACAGCATTTGAAATGATATTTGATTCTACCAAACTTACACTAAGCAGACTGTTAGGAGGATATAAATAAATTCAAATACTATACTACTGAACATCAAATATAAATAAAATAAACTACCAACCTCTGCTTTGCTTTCTTCGAAAACAATTTTGAGAACATTCTCATTAAAACCATTGAAAAAACATAATCAACATGAGTCAATTTCACTTGTGACCAAGCCAGTGAGGCTGATATGCCAATAATGAATCGGTGATCACATGGCTTTTGTCATTGTCGTATACTTGATGCCGTTGCATTCTCCGTCGTAGATGACTATTGTGAAAGGCAATCCCACATGGCACTTCCCTCCAACACGTCGTGCTACAACGTAACAATGACACGCTCCTGGCTCGTGAGTGTGGAGCCTGCAAATGAGTGTAACATACGAGCCATGTTGCTGTGTTACGTAACAAATTGCTTGTCAACTGCCAACTGTGCGACCCTTTCAGCTGTGAGACTGAAGAACAAGCCAATGACAACACCTTAAGTATATCTCGGGCCTCTTAAACTGGAGACAATGAAGCAAAAATCTACACTAGCTCATGTTTATCTACCTCGTAGGTCAAAAGTATAAAATCCAACTTTTGTCTGAAGACACTGTATATGATAATTTATTTTCTATCTGCTTGAGAATTGATGTACAATACAATGGAAAAGATATATTTATATTTAACTTAAAATATTTCTAGGGAAGTTCGAGGATAAGAAACTTCGACAGACAGTTCGAGGATAAGAGACTTCGACAGACAGTAACGGTAATTATTTCCCGAAAATACACATACGGACATACATATGAAAATCCTATCTTTATCACATTGACATTGGTAAATGTGATGTGAGCCACCCCTAAAATCAATAGAAACTCCACACATCATATCTTATACTACACAAAACCGATGCCTTGATTCAATTACACAGCACTGTCATAAAGGGGCAAAAATCAATCAGAACCAACTCCTAATCCAACAATAAATCAACATTTATCTGACTACAAAATGATTTCAAAGCTACACTACAAGCTGAACAAACATCAACTTTTCAAAACTACAAAAAGAGTTTAAAGCTACCCAGTCAATAAATTAAGTTACTTTGTGGAAAAACTGTTTCTGCTACTAAGCCTACTTTTCATATGACTGCAAAAATGTTTCAACATTAATATATACCGTATACACTTATGTGTTAACTTTTTCTCAAATCAGACTCAAAGCTTTGGATGCAATGTACATCTTATATATGACCAGACATCTGAGACGATCTTGACATTTTATATTGGGCATCCAAGAGACCTGTGACCTTGACCTTTTGAAGTCTTGACAGGTCTGTATCAGCCTGTTCTCGAGAAATTGGATCAACATGACCTTGACCTTTGACGTCTAAAATCTTACTAAACTAAGTAATTTAAATCATGTGACCTCCACAACTAAGTTGGATTTTGAATGCAGCACTTGTGTTAGATGCTTGATGAATCATTTATGGCAGTAATTATCTTTAAAGTCCTATGACCTTGAGATTTGACCTTCAAAATCTAATCACACCTAGTACTTAACATGGAGCATGCATGGTGTTTGGTTAACAATCCACCAATCCTTTGTAGAGAAATCTTGTCCACAATATAGGATACTGACAAACAGACTAATAGAACCAATATTTGACCACTGAAAGCAGAGACTGTCATTTTGTAGTGTATACATGTGTAGGAGAGGCTGTCACTTTGAAGTACATGTATATGTGTGTGTAGGAGAGACTGTCACTTTGTAGTGTATGTGTGTAGGAGAGGCTGTCACTTTGTGGTATATGTGTATAGGAGAAGCTGTCACTTTGAAGTACATGTATATGTGTATGTAGGAGAGGCTGTCACTTTGTAGTATATGTGTGTAGGAGAGGCTGTCACTTTGTAGTGTATATATGTGTATAGGAGGGCTGTCACTTTTAAGTACATGTATATGTGTGTGTGTAGGAGAGGCTGTCACTTTGTAGTATATGTGTGTAGGAGAGGCTGTCACTTTGAAGTACATGTTTATGTGTGTGTAGGAGAGGCTGTCACTTTGTAGTGTATGTGTTGCAGAGAGGCTGTCACTTTGAAGTACATGTATATGTGTGTGTAGGAGAGGCTGTCACTTTTTGTACATGTGTATAGGAGAGGCTGTCACTTTGTAGTGTATGTGTGTAGGAGAGACTGTCACTTTGAAGTATATGTATATGTGTGTGTAGGAGAGGCTGTCACTTTGAAGTACATGTATATGTGTGTGTAGGAGAGGCTGTCACTTTGTAGTGTATGTGTGTAGGAGAGACTGTCACTTTGTAGTATATGTGTGTAGGAGAGGCTGTCACTTTGTAGTGTATGTGTGTAGGAGAGGCTGTCACTTTGTAGTGTATGTGTGTAGGAGAGGCTGTCACCTTGTAGTGTATGTGTGTAGGAGAGGCTGTCACTTTGTAGTGTATGTGTGTAGGAGAGGCTGTCACCTTGTAGTGTATGTGTGTAGGAGAGGCTGTCACCTTGTAGTGTATGTGTGTAGGAGAGGCTGTCACTTTGTAGTGTATGTGTGTAGGAGAGGCTGTCACCTTGTAGTGTATGTGTGTAGGAGAGGCTGTCACCTTGTAGTGTATGTGTGTAGGAGAGGCTGTCACTTTGTAGTGTATGTGTGTAGGAGAGGCTGTCACCTTGTAGTGTATGTGTGTAGGAGAGGCTGTCACTTTGTAGTGTATGTGTGTAGGAGAGGCTGTCACCTTGTAGTGTATGTGTGTAGGAGAGGCTGTCACCTTGTAGTGTATGTGTGTAGGAGAGGCTGTCACTTTGTAGTGTATGTGTGTAGGAGAGGCTGTCACCTTGTAGTGTATGTGTGTAGGAGAGGCTGTCACCTTGTAGTGTATGTGTGTAGGAGAGGCTGTCACTTTGTAGTGTATGTGTGTAGGAGAGGCTGTCACCTTGTAGTGTATGTGTGTAGGAGAGGCTGTCACCTTGTAGTGTATGTGTGTAGGAGAGGCTGTCACTTTGTAGTGTATGTGTGTAGGAGAGGCTGTCACCTTGTAGTGTATGTGTGTAGGAGAGGCTGTCACTTTGTAGTGTATGTGTGTAGGAGAGGCTGTCACCTTGTAGTGTATGTGTGTAGGAGAGGCTGTCACTTTGTAGTGTATGTGTGTAGGAGAGGCTGTCACCTTGTAGTGTATGTGTGTAGGAGAGGCTGTCACTTTGTAGTGTATGTGTGTAGGAGAGGCTGTCACCTTGTAGTGTATGTGTGTAGGAGAGGCTGTCACCTTGTAGTGTATGTGTGTAGGAGAGGCTGTCACTTTGTAGTGTATGTGTGTAGGAGAGGCTGTCACCTTGTAGTGTATGTGTGTAGGAGAGGCTGTCACTTTGTAGTGTATGTGTGTAGGAGAGGCTGTCACCTTGTAGTGTATGTGTGTAGGAGAGGCTGTCACTTTGTAGTGTATGTGTGTAGGAGAGGCTGTCACCTTGTAGTGTATGTGTGTAGGAGAGGCTGTCACCTTGTAGTGTATGTGTGTAGGAGAGGCTGTCACTTTGTAGTGTATGTGTGTAGGAGAGGCTGTCACCTTGTAGTGTATGTGTGTAGGAGAGGCTGTCACTTTGTAGTGTATGTGTGTAGGAGAGGCTGTCACCTTGTAGTGTATGTGTGTAGGAGAGGCTGTCACCTTGTAGTGTATGTGTGTAGGAGAGGCTGTCACTTTGTAGTGTATGTGTGTAGGAGAGGCTGTCACCTTGTAGTGTATGTGTGTAGGAGAGGCTGTCACCTTGTAGTGTATGTGTGTAGGAGAGGCTGTCACTTTGTAGTGTATGTGTGTAGGAGAGGCTGTCACCTTGTAGTGTATGTGTGTAGGAGAGGCTGTCACCTTGTAGTGTATGTGTGTAGGAGAGGCTGTCACTTTGTAGTGTATGTGTGTA